AGTGAATTTAAGTTATAGATATACTTACATAAAGGGACCAAGTTGAAAGCCCCGAAGGGTAAGAAAAAGGTAGTCGCGAACCCAAAGTTTTATAAGGATGTTTGGTCCCATGTGATCTTACAACTATATTGCTATGTGATTGGCATTTATCGGAAATATTTCCCAGATATTTCAAATACAGACTAGTTTTTTGGTTGATTAATTTTTGGTGTAAGTTCTATCGGTTCTATTTTTGTTTATACAAATAATAGTTTCCATTAAAAATAGTGTTTTAGATTTTTCCTAAAAAAAGGTAGATGTAAACGGTTTAGGGGTGATATTTAAGAATTCCTTATAATTTTACTAACCATACTTATAATATTATGATGTGAATGAATAAATGTGTTTAACATTCACAAAGTATATTGAAGAAAATAAAGTTCCCATACATTTATATCTTTACACATTTACATATATTATTTTTCGTTGCAACGACAAATCTATAGATACCAATATTATAAAGCTGTAGTGTTTGTTTGTTTTTTTAAATGTATATAAGTAGTTTAAAACATCAAGCTTCGATCAAATGGAGCCGAGCAGCTGGTGAAACCGCACAAGAGTAGCTAGTATTTGATATTTTCGAACCACCTCCTCAACCGACTTCCGATATTCCGATATTGCTTATATGGCACCTTCAAATCGCTGATGTGACTCAGCGGGAGATACATAGGCCACAATACGTGGTGCCTAGGGACAGGGGATGGTTGCAATGTCATCACAGCGATTAATTAGTGGAAAATGAACATCGCACGACTCGACATTTTCAATTACAGCCCGTATCCGAAACTGAAGTTGATTACAGTAGCCGAAGGGAATAGTCGAGTGGTTTTAATACGCATTTGTAATCGAGTTAAAAACTACCGAGTCGAATGATTAACGGATTTTAGAGAGGCGCTTAAACAGGATTTTTTGACGCTCCGGTTTGTTAGTAGCATTTTTATTAAATTCTGTTTAATTTAAATTCCTGGATTCGGAGTGAAATGTTTTATTTTAAAAAACGGACTATACCAGCTATTTTTTGCGGAATTGAAGAACTTACAGATTGATTTGATAGTGTACTTACCAATATCTTTTAAAATAGACGAGAGAAATAATGAAAACATAAAATATGGCTTAGATTAATATCTTTCTACAACAATAAAAAACAAAGACAATCGTAAATATGAAAATGAAACAAAATATTATTTCGATTACCTATTAATTCATTAAACCGAAGCGAACGCCGTTCGCGCAACTACTTATTGTCCTTCTAGTGTCTCGGATAACTACCATTTTACGAAAGTAAATAAGAGTAACAATTACGGAAGTTTCCTTTACCTGTATGTATAGAAATGAGCGAACTGATCCCCTACCTGCTACCAGTAAGTGTATGTTAAACGACTCGCGGTACAGAATGTTCCAAGTTTTCTCATAACGAAAGTGGAGAGCTAGCTTAAGCTCTCCCTGAGTAGTGTTCCTAGAGTTTTTGTAGACTTTTCCTTTCGACGTGCCGTACTAACTTATGTAAATAGCTGTTGGTGGTGTACTTTTTTGCTAAGACAGACATTTTAAGTAACTGGGTATTTCATTTTAGTTGAGCAGTTCAAAAACAATCGTAAAACTTACCGACATTTGAAAGATAAACACGCAATTACAATATAAAATTAAAAGCAGTTTCAATAAGACCATTTTGAATATTTTCAATGACAAATATTTACGTAATAGGTGCGTCCTACTATGGTGCAAAGGAAATTGAACAGAATATTCTTCAAAACACTTAAGGTAGCTTGTACCATAAAACAATAAAGCGACTCCACATTTTAGCCCAATATAAAGTTTGGCTTAACTGAAGTGAAAATGTTATAGGCTCTTTTACAAATCCCGTAAAATATAGCACTTCGAGCGGTTAGAGAAAAATAGACAATCTCAGAAAAGGAGATTCACACCAAGACTTATCTCACCTGCGAAGCAAAAATTTATAAGGAGCTCAACGTTTTAAAATATTTTCCAACAAAGTTTTCCTTTGAAATTATATGAAGCAAACGACACTAACGTAAACGGTAAACCACAAGCGAGGAAGTAACATGAGGAAATCTATTTTCCAACATTTTCGAAGTCTAGCAGACTTTTATAAGTCTGCGGGGCACATCTGGCGTCCGCATTAGTATGTTGATGAGGCAATCGCGATCACGACGGGGATAACGTGATTTATATCATAGATAGGGTTGCCTGCTGAACATAATAATTTTAAAAGCACTCAGAGCTATTGAGTATCGAAGATTTTAAATAGCACGTACTTTATTGGAAAATATTGAGTTGTTCACTGGAGCGGTTAATTTTATTTGAGTTAGATTGGAAGATAGTCTTTCTCTATTTACATTTTTTAATTCACAGCTCATGTTTAGCACTGAATAATACGCGAACTACAACAATCTGGCAATACTAAATCTTTTCTTAGATATAAGTAACGACGGATATAAATCCATCATAGAACATTATAAACAAAGAGCCACCCCTAAAACCATATTCCAAGGATAAATTAGGGTCGTGTGTCAAATTTTTCACGTATTTTCCTTCGATAGGCTGTCGGCGCGTAGGTGACCGCGCCGGTGTAATTGATAGGACAGATGATATTAATGTCCCTCCCCAACACAACGTGTGCACACAATTTATGTTGCAATACCACACAAACTACAACGCACCCTTGTACACGAATATTCAGCAACTGTTTTCACGCTAAAATTGAGTTACGCAACACTTTGGTAAGTATTTGTTTAATATTCATATGTATTAACAAATTCCTTTTATACTGTAACGATTTATTATGTACCTAATTTTTTTTGATGTTTTTATTTTAGACTGTGGACCAGAAATAGTACCCTGTGGAACAACAATACTGACCAAAATAAAGTAATACTTTGTTCTTTTGTTATAACTTCTGTTTTCCATGCGTATCAATAAATACATACAGTTTAAGTAAGTTGGTACCGTTAAGTGAAGCGATATTAGTTATGTTAAAAATTTTATAAAATAACTCAGATCAAAAGCTTAATACAGTTCGCGAAATATATTAACCTATTACTTACCTACCTATTCAAATCAGTAACTAATGTGCAGTTAAATATTTACCACAACAACAACGACATTATTAGGACCCATCAAGTGTTTCCGGAAAAATTACCTTAATATTTCACATTGAAAACATATAGGTAGATAAAAGACTACACATATATTGGTGGAAATTGTTTCATCCATTGATTCCCGAGTCATAATTTCTCGACAATCATCAATGATAATTTTTATAAGTTTACAAGTAAGCGTAATAATCTGGTTAATAATCTTGAGCACTTCATCGACGCTATCTCAACGAATAAGATAAGAATCTTGTTGATGAAACTAAGCATGATTGAGCATTTACTTTCTGCTACGAATCGCATATTGCATTGCAAAACAAGACGTGTTGTAATATCAACAGCAATATTGATGGACGGTGTTTATTTTCAATAGTGAATGAATATAATAAAAAAGTGTACGGTGAAAAAAGTGACTAGCGGCATCTGTATTCATCACAGAAAACTTACTAAGCCTTCGATCAGCGCCATCTATCGATGTACGAAAGAACTACGTAGTACGAGGCTTTTGCAAATTTTACACAATTTTTGTGTGTTAACTACTAGATGGCGCTAGCAGTTCAAAGATAAAAGCAACAGTATAATGGATGTCTTGTGTTTTCAAAACATTATTAGTCATCTTTTATGTTTCATCATCACCGTTTTTAGCTCCAGCCTGAACAATTACTGAACGTGTAAATAACATTGTTTTTGAATTTTCGTGAATATGTATTTTATAAATACCTACCTACTTACTTGATTTAGTATTAATTATGTTGTATTAACGACTATAGTGTGTACCTTATAAAGTCTGAACTTACTTCATATCAAATAGAAAATTTTATACTTTAGGTACTATTGCAGAGTAAAACTCACGCTTACTTTTGTTGCACTGTGCTAGGTTCTTTACCTTTTACACTTAAGAATAATGCCCCACCAATTTGAAACATCAATTAGGTACCTATTAGGACAATGACGATTTAGGAAAACCGAACACCTACTTACCGATAGTTCAATAATTGGGTACAAGGTATTAAGATTTGTATTTTAAATAAATAAATACCTGCCTATTAACTAGGTGATAAGAGAGTAACCTATTCTGTGGAAATCTTATTTTTCTTTCGTGGATAAGGAAAAACCAATATTGTAAAGTTCTTGTGTTTTTACGCTAACATGAAAGCAAGAATGGCTGCTAATATAATTTCTGAGAAACACGACATATTGATAGCACTGAAGTTCAATAGGGCTTTTGCGGAAATCCTTTCTGGTAGACTGTAAAGTGGGCCCTTTGTAGAGAAGATGGCTCATCTAGATAAGTGGGTACGCTTTCATGGTAAGAACGGCGACGATATCATGTGAGCCTTGACGTGCTTTGACACTCCAGACGGCTTTCTAAGGAACTCGATTTTACAATGATAGGAAAGGGTTGCCACGAAAATTAATTTTGTCACCGCATTGAATTGAAAAAACGACACCGACGACCGCGGCGCTGCCGTCGTTTTAAGCATCATGGAGTTCGCTTTTATTTTGTAAATACGAATTAGCATTTTGTAACAATAACAATGGATACTTAATTGACACACACATGCAAAATGAACAGTTATATCAAAAAGTATTTTGACTCGTAGGTAACTGGTTTTTCAGAGTGTAGGTACGATTATGTGCTTCAAAGTTCATTGCACTTCCGTGTAGCAACAAATTAGCTAGTTATTTACTGATTTTTTACTTCATAAAAATGCCCTACAACCATGAACCTGCATTAGGACTTAGGTATATGCCTTTGGTATAAATAAAGTACTGTAGACCGAACACAATTCAATAGAATCTTCATCTTTATGTACAATAGATAGCAAATACGCCTACGTTCTGACGTCAGATGACGCTAAGGGTCCATTGTTTGAACTGAGGAGAGAAATGATACTGTTATCGTATATAATTAATCTTTCTTTTGGATTGTTGTCTGTAGCTACTTGGTTCTCGTATTACTAAGACAGTTGCCTTGAGATTGACACGTGCCGAAAAAAGGAGTGATGGCTCTTACATGAGTAAATTAACATTATCGTGTCATCACGCGTGTCATAGTCTTGCAAGAGTGGAAAATTGTAGTGTGTTCGCTTGATTTTTTTAGCATTATACATTCTACATAGTATACTAGTCTTGTTTGTTCCATATTGACAAGATAGGTATATATAGGTACTTCTCTCTCAAATGCAGTCTTTAAAACCAAGACTTTTAAAATATTCGCTAATGAGATTGCCATTTACCTGTGAGCCTGAAGCAAATTCATCAGCCGGTGGTTCCCTGGTGAATCTCTCGAACTTGAAGCTATTAGACCTGTATAGCTCGTTGTCCTCGCGGGAACGTCTTCCACGGCAGAATCGACGAGTTATCGATGTGTGCCTGAAAGTTAAAGAGAGAAATGGTGGTCATTTAATACACCAAGAAAGTAGGAGCCTTTTCACATGATTACTTTTGTTCCTCGTAGAGATTGATAGAGTTACATAAACATAAATAAAAAATAAAACACAGTATTTTAACATATGTTATAAAATCGATAAGTAATAACTCGTTAGGCAAACTAAATTAATTATAACTCTGCTCATCAATAAGAGACCCGGTGTAACTTGAAACGATTAGAGCTTTTCTCGAATAATTCACGTGAGTAAGCCCTACTTTTAGGTTAAGTAATCGACTGCCGACAGAAAGCGTTTGAAGGCGAATCCTCCGCTAGCGAACCTCATTAACTTGTCGTCCATGGCGTCCAACGGGGTAACATCCAAGTTATTATGGTGATCCTATAGCTATATAATAAGTACAGTTCTTATTTTTCTCATTGGCAACGTTCTAAGATACAACATAAAATGTTTCCCGACTACTATGCAGCAGCTATTTAAGCATGACTTCACATATGATATTCATTAAGAATCAAATATGCACAAATCAATTCTACAATATAAAATCTCGTCCAACAGTCCAGAAGATCGGACAGTGGGCCTTTTTATGCATTCCAATCGATTCAACCTTTGGAAACTCGGGGAATTCCAAACGCCAATAAATGTTGCTAGCATATAAAACCTTCTTGCATGAAGTCGTTATTCAATTCCTTCAGCAAGGCCCCTGGGACTGACGTATTGCCATATTGCACAGATTAAAAATCTATAAAATGTTTCCAAGGAAAGATAATCGGGTTATATTTTTATAATCTGTTTAGCAATTAAATTTAATTTATTAATCTGAAAATACGAACTCTGGTAGATAATGATACGTTGATAAAAAATAAACGATAACAATAATATTGGATTAGGAGGTAAAGTTTTACATTGAAATTGTTGACTTAGGTTTCTTCGAGAGATGATTGAGGATGGCGAGCAAGGGTAGCTCACCTCCCGACCAGAACCAGACCCGAGCTCTCGGCGCGTTACGTTCTGTGCGCGCCTCAAAGAGCCAATATACATACAACACCACAGACGGGGCCTTGGCCAAGAGCAGGGAAAGGAACTGGGGTTTTTTTGTCAGCGGGAGCAATCAATTGATTATTTTCCTCACACAAAAAAAAGTTTACTATTAACTATCCTATTTCATACCTCAGTCATGAATTTTTCTTAGGCCTGGTTTATGATAGAGTGACTTTTGACTGGAAAAGATAGAATAAGTACTGAAGTCATGTGTGTGGGTTGAAGTTCGTCGGCTAGACCGAAGTGATACCCTGGCCTCGCAGAATACCGACGTGAGGCAACCACAGCGTTGTATTTCATCAATGATTGATCCCTCTCTTCATGAGTGAGGTTCTTGTCTGGCGACTGAAGGTCCAGACTAATCGACTAATTAACCATCCATCCAAAGGCCGACAAAGCAATTGCAACTTCTCAGATGTTGCTGTTGTAAGGACGGTGCAGACTGCTTGTTATCAGGTGATGTGGCTGCACTTTTTCAGCCCTTTACCGTAAAAAAACAGTAGAAAGAACAATATTATAGTTAGTAATATTTCTTCTTACCGAAGACTTGATTATCATTATTTTACAGAAGCAACCAGATAGGAAATCTGATAAATTCTGTAACACTTACTTTCGTCACTATAACGAAAATTAACCGGGAGACCTTCTAGAAGAATCTAGTATAAGGCCAAAAAATATATTGTGATCTCTTCCCTTGTGATGCCTTCCCTTTACAGGTTAATAGCAGTTAAAATAGCATCTACGAATATAAAATATAGGGTTCAGGTATACAGTACACACACATACAGTTTATAGGGTCATCTCCAACAAGATACATAGGTACGATTTGCATATGCTTAAAAAAATAAGGAGGACTGCTATTTGGAACTTTAACTACAATGTCTCAACAATCATTTTTATTGCGCAACTAAAAACAACAATAATATACCTACAATTTAGTACTCGGAAATTTTTTGCCATTTAGAACATCAGCCATTTGTCAATCTAATGTCTTGATCAAATCTACGATAAAATGAATCCATAAAAATTTTACCTAATCATTGCTACACAACAAAATGTGCTGCTAAAAAAATTAATACAACTATGAGTTATCGAAAAAAAAACAATATTTCATTATGTTGGAAATTACAAGCCGAAAAATATAAGACTAAAATAGAACTTTATCAGCAAGATTAGAAGGAGCTAACGTACAGCAATACTTCGTTTCAATTTCGTATCAATATCATAAATGTTAATAATTACTATGAAAGTTAAATAACAAACAACATCACGGCGTTTTGTCTTGTGCAGGATGAGCAGATTTATTTTATTGAAAGCACATGCTGCTTTTCTGTGAGGGGAAAATCATCAAATGGCTTCTCCAGCCAATAGTGGGGCGAGAGTGACTGACTAAAAACCCCTCCGTTCCTTCTCCTGATCTAAGCCGAGGTCGTGGTGCCTTATTGCGCTTGCCCCGCAACCCCGGAACATCATCCTCATTATAGGGCCCCGTCTCTGGTCGTTGCCTACTGGCTAAGTACAGTGTGCTTGAGCTGGCAAAAGGAACTTGGGAAGGTAATTAATGTTAATGACTCCATGATATAAGTGTGTAATATAGAAAGGCATGGTCAGGAACATCCTCAGTATTACCAGCAGGAGTAGTCTACATAAGTGAGGAATTGTCCTTGGCGAGCAACGTGGGAATGACGCTTACAATAAGATCAGCTAAAATTGAAGCAACTTCGGCTTACACAGACTTCAGCTGACATTATAATAATAATAAAATTTTGGTCCACGAAGCAAAGCCAATACTTAAAAAGTAGCCATGCCGCATAAATGATTCATTGGGTAGGGAAGTGGATGTGAAAAACTATAAAAGAGGGATGAGACAGTGTTAAGTAGTGGATTGATAAAAACTTGCAATGATGAGTCAGGGATTAGTACTTATTTTGCTTAACTCTTCGTAAAGTCTACAGTCTCTGTTTTTTTTTTGTGAATAGTGCCGTAAGCGATGTTGCTGATGTTATAGATGTAATGGTTAATCGCCGCTGAAGATTGGCTACCCGCCACATCAGGGGAGCTACAAGTACTTCACCGGCCTCTTGGGGGTTAGTGATATGAAGATTAGTTGCTACTAAAACAAAACAAATCGATGCGATTTCAGAATATTTATAATAAAATCGTGTACGTATTAAATCTTAACAAATAAGCATTGCTATGTTGATGTTAGCCAACGTGGCAATGTTGCCAGCTCTCTGGGCATTTTTTCCAGTGACTTCAATTCGGATGAAAATTTTAATGAAATTATTGATAGATATTGTTATTTAGTTCTATTTTACATAATAGTTAGGTGTGTAAATTGCTGCATCACCCAAAGGTTTGGATGTTAGAGAATGGAATGCCCATGGCATTAAACCCACCTTTGGACATTTTTTTTTGTACATTATGATATTAAATAAATAAATAAATTGCGATAATAATAATATGTTTTTTCTTTGCAAATTGTTTACTAAGTAGGCACAAATGACGTGTACAACTTAAGAAAAAAAATTTAGGTACTACAATGATGAAAGCTTGTTGTGGTCTGTGTCTCGCTGTTTTATCAAACTTTTATACACATTTACTATTCTAATAGACCCTGACTAAATACACTTATTGGGTTCTTATTTCATTGCTACGCGATCTATCAAAACCATTTGAAAATCTCTACGAGATCTGAAATCACGTTTATCTATTTTAATCCCATTTATCTTGCGCTGCGAAATCCCTTAGTCATACGTTTCGCTAAGAGCAATCACTTCTATGACTCATATCCCTATTACGAAGTCAGGGGCAGAATCAAAAGCAGTAATCGCGCTCTTAAAACTCACGTTAGTTTCTCATCCCATAATTAAAGTTAGATTATTCCTCAGCTTACATGTAATCCAATCTCCTCATATGTAAGAAACTAAGTTGCGCACCGTTGGAGAATTTAATTTATATTTAATCATTCATCATTAACCATCGTTAATTTTTTATGCGTAAACAACAAATTATTTAGCCCCAGCCGCTTGTTGCATTGTTGCGTCTGTACGCAGCTAACTGCAAGTTTACATAAGACAGACTGTAATCATGTCGTGCAATCTACCGTATTGCAGTATAATGAACCTGGATGATAAAGTAACCGACATATTAATAATAATGTACATAATTAACAGTTACCTAGAGTCGCTGGAATGCAACGGCCATTGTATGCCGAATATCTTCAATCTAGCCGGGGGACGCCTCTTCTGCTCGGTTCGAGTGTTCTCTTCAACGGGGGGAGTGTGATGTCTACTGCCAGATGAAGCCCGAGTGCCGCTTCTGCGACGCCTACGACGTCTCCTTTCAACCAAAATAAAGTTATCCCCGTTCCTGATAATGTATGATGAACGGAGTGTGGACTTCTCTTCGCCTTGCCTTTGTCTTATCAAGTCAGCTGTTCTCAATGTGTGTATATTCTGGTACTCGGCCTCCTGTGGTTGTGGAGCGGGAGCTGGCGTCACTTCCTTGCTAGTGCTAGTCCCGCTTCCATCCCTCTTCTTGCGGGAGGAATGGAGACCAACTCGACGCCAAACCTTTTCCATCTGTCTTTAATGTCATCCCATTATTATTCCCACTAATCGTCGCAATTTCAGCGCGACTAATCACTTGTCACTGTATAGACGCACAATCACAATATTTACTTAGGCATTTATTCCAGAAAGATCACAGAATTGTTCACAGAGTTTCACCGAAAGATGTCCGAGATTCCCACATAAATATTAACACAAATGAATCACTGTCCAATCAGCCGTTCCCTGTCATTGTTCGGGTTGATAAATATTTCAAGAGTCCTCAACAAATCCTCGGCTCCCGACCGGAGATTACGTGTCAATGTTCAAATCACAGAAATCAGGGCGTATATCATTAATTTCTCTTATTAAGACGTACTAGGTTAGTAGAATTAGGGGAGAGAATAACGTGTTTTTTGACATCGCACTTGCAGAAGTCCCGGCCCTAACAGGGTGCGGGTGCAAGATTTGCGCATGCGCGATCCCCCTTCACCCGTAGCCCCGTCTGACCGAAGCTCCAAAATGGCGGACCTCCGACCCCTTCCCGTTATTGAATATCTAATTTTATCGCCGTGCATTTATTGTATTCGACTGCAATGCATTCACGGCCTACTTTTATTATTATCCAGTTACCAAGACCGGTCAATAACTTATGTATAAAATTAAATCATTTCTTTGGCCAGCTTTACCAGTAGCAGGTAGTAAGATTCAGAGCTTTTTACATTCATGTGTGTTTATCGTGAATATATATTTTTACAGTGTTCTACGATCAGAGTAATCTAGTGTTCTATTACAGAAATTACTTTACATCCTCAGTAATAATACCCGCCCGCCTACTTAACTTCCCCCTAGGGCCTTTGATAGCGCTGCTTTGATAACTCTTCCAAAGTATGAACATTAGGTAAGTAGGTACTTACATAATATACTTCAACATCTGTACAAAGTTGCTATTGCTTTTCAAAAGTTAGGCAGACGTGAGAAACAACTATAAGACTTACTTCTCATTCTGTTACTAGTTATCTATATATAGTAGATATACTTATTAATAATATTATAAGAGTTTGTTTGTTGAATGCGCTAATCTCCGGAACTACTGGTTCAAATTGAACAATTATTTTTTGTTTGTTATTCCGTTTATCGAGGAAGGCTATAAAACATCACACTGCGATCTGTAGGAACAGAGCATCGGGTGAAACCGCGCGAGAGTAACTAGTCTCGAGTATATTAAGTTGTTTTTGTACTAGGATTTTGGAACTTGATAAATACTTAGTTCACACTGCTGTAGCCTTGTTACAAATATTCATCGTATTAGTTACTCCACTTATAACTCAAAAACGGCTAAACCGATTTAGCTGAAAATTGGCAGGAGTTATTTTAGAGCCAGGAGAAGGACATAGGATAGAATAGAGTTAGTAGTGTAGATTAGGTAGAGTAGGGTAGGTAGAGTAGGGTAGGTAGAGTAGGGTAGGTAGAGTAGGGTAGGTAGAGTAGGGTAGGTAGAGTACGGTAGGTAGGCTACGGTAGGAAGAGTACGGTAGGTAGAGTAGGGTAGGTAGAGAAGGGTCGGTAGAGTAGGGTAGGGTAGGTAGAGTAGGGTAGATAGAGAAGGGTAGGTAGTCAAATGACGGGAGCGACGCCGCAGATAAGAGCTAGTAAAACATAAATTAACACATTTTAATCCCTCCTGGGGTAGGTAGAATAATTCGGTCGGAAAATCATCATCTCTAGCCCAGAGTATGGCGAGATGGCTAAGTTTAATAAGTAAACTTATCGAATTTATGACCGGATCGAAGCCATCTGAGGACGACATCGTTAATCCGTCTTGAGCAAATGTGGTGATTAATGTTGATTCCTTCTCCGTGTGAGAAAAGGCTGGTTGTTGAAGGTGAAGCTTTGCGGTAGCTTTTAGTATGGGAGAGCCATGCTTCGGGAGGCATGGGCCGGCTCGTACGGAATGATACCGTGGCCTCTGAGAGTTACCGGAGGCCCACCACATGCCACCACATGGTCCTCTCTCCACGTCCTCAATCCTCTAATCCTCTTTTTTTTATTTGATAGGACCGCAAACGAGCAGACGGATTACCTGATGGTAAGCAATCAGCGTCGCCCATGGACACCCACAACAAAGAAGGAGTGAGTTGCCGGCCTTTGAGGGATTGGGATTTAGGGATTGGAAAGGGATTGGGCCTTCGGTAACCTCACTCACACGGCGAAACACAACGTTGTGGTTGTTTCACGCCGGTTTTCTGTGATAACTATCGTCTATCTCTAATAACTCACAAGGGGCTAGAAACACTTGTTGTAGTTTGAGTAACTCCTTTTGTATTACGAGTATCCATGAGCGACGCTAGGTAATTGCTTAACATCGAGCAATCCATCAGCTCCTTTGCCGACAAAATGACATCAAAAAAATCGTATTTAAATCCTTGTCTGTCCTTATTAAATCAGATCTCAAAATTATTAATTAATTTAAAAAAAACTGCACAAGACGACTTTTTAGACAAAATAGGTGTTTTTATTCTAAGTTAAACCCTAACTATCTCGAAGATTTTTCAAAAATTCTAATTAAAATACAAAATTAAAAACAGCAAGAAATTGAAACCGGTGTACCGGTGTAAGCTCACCCCCCATCATAGACTACACAACATAATTATACTGAGACTGAGACCCCTATTATAATTGATGCGATGTTTTATTCCACCTCTGCCTACCGCTTCAGTGATTGGTGCGTGAAGTTTTGCTAAACTACAAGGGTCTGCCGTACAACGCTACTAGATGGCGTTGGGTGTCACTCCGGCGCCATAAAAAGTACGGAATTCGGAAAATTAATAGCAAGTGATTTCATGTTTTCTAAGTTGACGGAATGTCTTAGAATGTAAGCATATTGTAGCTTCCTCTACTAGTGTCATTTTAGGAAATCGAGTGATAAGACTACCTTTCCATTCCTAATTTCTGCCTTGCTTTAGGTACTTGTAACAGGCTCAATCTCCGGACGTGTATCCTAATCCCATGTAAGTAATCTAATGTTATAAATGTGAATATTTTTAAGTATTTCGGTTACTTTGTTATAGTTAAAAACCCATGTATAATACTTACCTATAATACTACAAAAATAAAAACAACAAATTAAATTAGATATTATCATCGATCATTCAAGTCCGGCGCGATGGCGCACGCGACACGTTAGGTGAATGTATATCAAAATCAAACACAACACAACGACCAATAGGAACACAAAACTGCTGTTGCGTCATCGCGACAACGACGCAACACGAACTCCGCCATGTCGCGTAGCCGACATGACGCGATAGCCAGTCCAACTCGAGCTCGAGTAATAAGGTGACGAGCGACATAGTCATAAATATGTCTGATAACAAAACTTTACAATTAGTGAAAGCAATCGAAAAGTTTCCTTGCTTATACAACTACAATATACCAGAATGCTTAAAAAAGGAATTTAGTGACAGAGCATGGCAAGAAGTCGCTAGTCAAACTCAGCTCTCGGGTAAGACGTTTTAATTGTTCAAAACAACTCGCTAGTAGCTACCTATGACATATAGGTACTATTTAACTGGGATTACATATATTTTATGCATTGATGCATAGGTAGGTGGGTACTTACGTTGTTTACAGTTAACTTGACATTGAATGACTAGGTAAACAAACGCATTATTGCTACAAATTATTAATTATCTTTATGAATTTTTAGTATCTAATTACCTGCATAAACTACCTGTAGGTACTATTCTTATTTTGTGTTTTCGGGACACGTATGTTGCCAGCTAAGCGACATACGTGTTAAAATATGTACTCACGTTAATATTTAGCCTTTTTTTCAGTTGGTGAATGTAAAGAAAAATGGAAAAATCTAAGGTACGGCTTGCTGCGAAGTTTAAGACTAAACCCAGATGGCTCAGAAAAAAAGAAATATTATTTACATGACGAAATGGAATTCGTACTACCATTTATCAGAACTTATAGAACAGACCACATTGTTTTTTAACAAATAGATACTGAAACCGATGAAGAAATTAATGGTTATAACGAACAAGATAATGAAAGCACCCCACTGCAAATTCAATATCATGAAATAGAAATACCTGAACCACCAAAAAAGAAATCTAAAGCTAATGATAATCTTATTAGATATTTGCAACAAAAACCAAGCAATACCTTGAACAACAATGAAGTGAGCGACGATTCAAGAAAAATGTTCTTATTAAGTCTGTTGCCTGAAGTTAACGCGTTAACAGAATGCCAAATGAGAGTTTTCCGAAGAAAAATATTTTCACTGTTAGACGAAATTGTAGATAGTCCAAGTCAATACGAGACGTGTTTATTTCAATGGCAAAAAGAATCCATAAATCCAGAATCACACAAAAATTCTGAAACAATTAAAAAGGAACCCCTATGATCGTAAGAAACCAATGAAAATATCTAATAAAAAAATATTAATGTCCATGTAAATGCATATAGATAACAGAAATATATAGTCCGGTCAATTTAGACCAAAAAATGAGGGTGAAGTTACATAAACTCCCAACAAGCTGAATTTCTGTGAAATTGTTCGAAACATAGTTATAAACAATGTCTAAAAGTTCCCCATCATTCCCCTGTAAGGAAAAATTTTTATTCAAGGTCAAAGGTCAGAAAATTGAATTTTTCTCGATTTGCAGCAAAACGGTAAGTTTTATGATAAAAGTACCTCCGACAAAAATTGTAGTTCATAAAATTATCTATAAAAAATGTATCAACACTTTTTTCTTATGACCCACCGCTTCTGAGATATAACGATTCAAAAAGTTATAAAAGTTGTTATTGTCATAATATGCACACCTTTCCACGCCACCTATGAGGTAGTGTACTTAGCACGTTTTTTAACGTGGTATCCTCAGTAGGCCGACTTTACGGGTCATTTGTCATCCTGTTAATGTAAAACTATCTCAAAATAACGAAAATTTTCAAAGATTGTTGTAGAAAGATAAAAGCGGTGGATGCATTTTGGATGCAAGTAAATTGCGTCAATAGCAATGTATCACATGATACTTCGTCGGAGTCAAACGAATCCTTTATTGTTTGTGAGTCAATATTAGAGCATGACCGGCCTTGGCAATCTGTGCATGCCAAAGAACAAGATAGCCCGACTTTTTTGCAACCACATTTAGCACTGCATCCCTTTTTGCAGTTGCAATAAATAGTGTTCAGCAGTTTTTCCGGCGCTGGTGGAAGTAATGTTTGAACTGGATCTAATATGTTGTTGACCAACTTTCAACCCCAATCTGTAGCTGATAACCAAGCCACACTTGAACTTGGTAATATACTCGAAGAAGATGTTGGTGACCAGTAACTAAGGTTAGAGAAAGACAAGCTAATTGAACTTGTTTTTTATTTTTAGTATTTTTAACCAAACATGCATATCGATGCTTATCTAAACAGGTAGTTCTTTTAGGAGCTCCGTACATAGAAAGAAGAAAGCGGATGCCCTTGTTGATTTGAATTACTCTTTTTAAAAACTTTAGCACATTGAATTAAAACTTGTTTTCAAATATTTTGAAAACTGCTGTTTTACCCCTCTTGTAAAATGCAGATTTTGTTAAAATTTAAGTATATTTTATATTGTAAGTATAAGTTACAATGACCAATATAAAATGTTGAAACATATGTAAAAATAATTATTAACATACATAAAATGTAACAACTCTTGATGTATATACGTGGCGATGATCTCTTGATGTATATATGCATACTATGATAATAACAACTTTTATAACTTTTTGAATCGTTATATCTCAGAAGCGGTGGGTCATAAGAAAAAAGTGTTGGTACATTTTTATAGATAATTTTATGAACTACAATTTTTGTCGGAGGTACTTTTATCATAAAACTTACCGTTTTGCTGCAAATCGAGAAAAACTAAATTTTCTGACCTTTGACCTTGAATAAAAAATTTTCCTTACAGGGGAATGATGGGGAACTTTTAGACATTGTTTATAACAATGTTTTGAACAATTTCACAGAAATTCAGCTTGTTGGGAGTTTATGTAACTTCGAATGTCTAAATTGACCGGACTATATATATGTAGAAATACTACCTATATTGTCTAATTCTTTTATTACCTACCGATGTTTAGAGAGCGCCATCTAATATCAAATATGAAAACCTACTTTTGAGCAAGAGATGGCGTCAAAACAAAAGTTACCTGTTAGCAAAATCTTCACCAACAGCCCTGTTCAATATTATTTCTAGGTTGTGTCTGTGTAAGAATAACAACAGCTTATTTAACAAAAAATATTTATTACTCCTGTAATCATTAACTTATATTGTAACGATAAATAAATGTGCCCTGCTGAAAGAATATTGATGATTTATTACAAATTAATGTACAAAATGCAAATAAAATGCCTGTTTTAGTTAGCAAGTAAGCTATTTGATAGGCGCATTCTTCATTGATTTAGTAGTAACAGGATTTCCATTAACTTTGCTAATCAATTTATTATCTTGCCACACAGCTAGAAGACTGTCATTAGTCTTTAGATCAACTTGCAGTTTTTCCCATACCTTTTTCTTGGGATTCAAAACATCATCAGGTTCTCCTGTTTCATACCCTTCTACTACGACTCTATCGCCTGGTTTGCTGCCCTCTGGAGCCAATAGAGGCTCAACCTGTTTAGGTTCATCAACAGACGCACATAGCACCATGCCTTTGGATTCAATACCACGCATTTTAGCCGGTTTTAAGTTACACAGAACTACTACATCTCGGTTCTGCATTTCTTCTAAGGGTACAAAGTTTACCAATCCTGATACAACAGTTCTTGGTTCTTCCTCTCCCAAATCTATTTTTTCAACATAGAGAGCATCTGCATCAGGGTGCCTTGAAACTTCAACTATGCGCCCTACTCTTATATCGAGTTTGGAAGGTGTTATTTCATCAGCTGTTGGAGCATTGCCTTTAGATTTTGTTGGAGGTGGGTATGCCTTCTTAGCCAACTCTTGGAGATGAGGCTGTTTGAATATTTCTTGGATAGGACCTAAAAGTTTGTTAATGGCTAATTCAACACTAGCCTTTAGATCTCCTGGGTGAATTTCCTGTTTAGCATAAGCACTTTCCAGATCTTCAAACTTAGTAAACTCAACATTACCACCATGCTCTGGTGCTCTAGTAATTTTGAAAGTTTCACCACCCTTCATTAATGGAAATACAACATATTTAGTGAATGACAAAACACCATTATCCGTAATGTTGCCAGGTTCACAGAAAGCCTTTTTCAACTTCTTCTTTACACTTGCTGGGTTATCTAATAAATCAATTTTGCTGTCCTCTTCTGATGCAGACATTTTTCCACCTGTTAGACCAGGAACCATGGGATTCATTAAATGTACCCTTTTGGCATACCCTAACTGAGGCAAATATTTTTCAGCCATAGTAAATATTTTCCTTTGATCTACTCCACCAAATTGGGCATCTACTTTCAAATATTCTTCATCTAATGCTTGAAGGCCAGGGTACAACAGACCACTAAGTAATGGGTGGTCAACTTGTTTTACTACCTCTGCACCTGCTTTTCTAGCATCATGATCTGTGACAACAGATGACATGCGATATACATCAAGTGTGTATTCTTTGCTTAGCTGATAATCAGTACCCTTTACAAACTTCAACTTATCCAGTGGCACACCAATTGATTGTAGCATAGCCTTAATAGCAGCTTCATAGTATTGCACACGAAGATTTAACAAATCCCATGGCGCTTTCATATTGTCTAAGTAAGCATGTAAATCTGCAAATAAAATAGTCACCTCACAACCAGCCACTAAGAAATCTGCTATCTTCGACATCGGAACAAAATATGCGACATGGGGCCTCCCAGTTGTTGCTGTTCCCCAATAGATTTTAAGATCTCTTTGCTTCAATATTTCTGTTAGCCTGTCATCGCCCAAAACTTCTTGTAAATTACGAGTTATAAGGGTTTTCTTTTCCTCCATCGTAGCCATGGTTAAAACGCAGTAAAAATCTGAAAAAAAAAAGAAACGAAACTAGGTTAGAAACACGAGAAATTTGGAAAGGTCTTCAATACTTTACTATATTATTCATCACAAATAAGTTGGATGTTAATTGAATGTTACCTACCGTTTATGATAGAATTTCAAATGTACACTCAATGAATAGGACTATAACTAATAACCATCAGTATTTTTAACTACACGTATTAAAGGACAAATACGATACGAGAAGTAATAACACGTAAGTGAGGTGTCTTACGAAACTGGATGAAACATAACCTCTTAAAACGAATTTAGTAAAAGTGTCAATTAATAACGTAAAGTTACAAAATTAAAGTTAAAACGACGAAGTAAACACTTTTATTGTGTTTTAAATTACCACAACATAGATTCTCATTTGATAATGAGAAAAAATTAAAAAAATATTGTATTTTTGACAGGTCTGAAGTTAGCTACAGTTCAAAATACTTGTTACCAACTGCTAATTGGCGCTAGTGTCGCAGTGAATGCTCGCGTTTCCTGTCAAAAGCGCCATTGCGCATGACAGTCAGTGCGGCCTTGCAGACTGAGAGCGCTGCCAACAAAGGCCGAGTCGATGGGGTTACAAAAAGATTGTTAATTTGGACTTCTAAAACCCTTTTGTTGTTGTAATTATAATTTTATATAGGTTGTGAATTTGTGATTACGGTTAAGAAAATGTGTGAATGATATGAATCGTGACGACTAGCAAAGGAGTCAGCTGGTCCTACAGTGCGAATAGTGAATAAGAAATGGCGGCCTTGCCAGCAGGTGTTCAGTATGGGTTATCATCGGAGTCTAGTTATAAAGAAAACAAGGAACTAGTGTTTGTGAAATTAACGGATTCAGCGCTTAAAGCTATTGAAGACTTTCTTAGAAATAATACGGTAAGTACATTCGCCATATTGTTATACCAAAATAAAGATAAGCCAACAATGTCAGGCGCCATACTTAAATTACAGTAATTGAAATGAAACTGCAAATTTAAAAGGTTTATTTGATCAAATCTGTTTTCTAATCATGTTATTTGGCTTCAAAACAAGTTTAGGTAGGTAGCATTGCGATATAAACTCCTCTCCAATGTCACGCCACGTCAACATGTAGAAAATTTGCTCTGTTATTTTCACAGATTTACATTTCATACGGCTATAATTAGAGAATTCGGACTTATTGTTGCGGAATTCGACGTTTACCGTGGAGTTGTGTTACATATTGTGTTTTTTACTCGCTACCGTTTCACGTAAAGAGAGATTGTGCCCCTGTAAGAGATATCAAATAAATTCAGAACAAAAACATTCAAGACGACGACTTATCTAGTTTACGTACTGGAAAAACACCACGCAATATTTGTCGTTGTAGTTGATTTTATGTGTAAACCATTTTTATGTGTTAATTGGGGTACTACAATTTTCAATAAGGACAATTTGCATAATCATTACCAACCAGCAATAGCAGCAAAATGATCAACA